ACACACACTGCGCGCTTAGGATCGGTTGACGGTTTCGTGCACACCGATAACGATGATTAACAGCGATCTCGTGTGACGGGAGCGAGCACGCACCTGCCTCCTCTGTCTCTCTCGCTCCTTCGGCTCGGTTCGGCCGGCATTCGGCACACCGAGTTTCGGACGAGCCGGAGCCCGGGAGTGGGGGGCGGTGCGCGAGGCTAGCCGAGACACGAGGTCGCTCGGCCAATCGGCGAGGCCCGTTTCCGCGGCCGGCGAGCCGGTTGGACGCGCTTGCGCCATCTGACGTCCTCGCGGTGACGCGGCCAATGGCACGCGAACGCGCCAAACGCGCCGACGTTCGCGGCGCCGAGTTCAAGCCGTCCGTTACTTACGATGCAGTTTTCTCGATTGCATAGCGGCTCTTTTGAGGATATTTTAATCCCGATACAGAGCGGACGTTTATACGTCTGTCGAGGAGCAACTGTCAGCTAGGGGTAGATGCAATAGAGTCTAATCGAATGGAAATTGAAACAGCTTTTAAACGATCCTTTATGTCTCCCGGACAGAAATAGTCGTGACAGCCTTTGTTGCTGGGAACAGCAGTTGCATCGGTTGACGCGGTAAAAAAGCTTGGAATATTTATTTCAAAGAGTCGCCGTTGAAATCTTAGAAACGACCGACCTTCGGACCTCGCACTCATTCTCTCGCAAGCCGCGCCCCTTAAAATAGCGCAACATTGTGTCAATTATGTCATTTGAGCTATGCCGGCCCTTGCATAACGGTAATAACATAACTATCGAGAAGAAATCACTGCGGAGGCGTACCGCGTCGTCGTTATTGTTAGAGCCCCGGTCATCGGGCGCAACAGTTCGGTTCCACGCCGAAAAGGTTAAAGGCAAAAGGGTCGACGAAGGACGCGTCCGGGCGTGCGAACGGCGAGTGCGAGAGCAGATCTAGAAACTCGTTTGCTAGAGAGTACAGTCGTTGGATCTGAACAGGAATAATTAGCGCAAACGTCGTACAGTTAGTCGTAACGATGGCGGAAAGGAACTTCTCTCTGGCGAAAGATGGCCGCTAATGCGAGGCTGGTGAACGCGAGGTCTCGCTTCACGCCGACAGAAGTAACGCTGATTGGATGGGGAATCAGAACAGCCGAGAATCGAGGAAAGCTGTCTCACGTTACATATTTATGATCAACGTTTTGCGTCTTCCATGGAGAACATTAGGTTACTTTCACCCTTTGAACTCGGGAGGTGACTCTGAGTCACCACTTGATCTCACGCAGTGAAACTATAAAATCTGATATTTAACGTTCAACTTCGTACAATGCGGTACGCGAGATACTGGAATAACCTAGCTTCGTTCCTCAATGTACTTGTGATTTCACTTCGAGTTTGTCTCAAAGGATATCGTCTGTTTTGGCAGAAAATGTTGATATTTCTAGTGAGAAACTTCCAAGGGCAAAGGGTTAATATTGAAAAATGGACTTAAGCCACTTTAAAAGTCAACGTTTCATTCTTTGCATTTAGAACAATATTAAAACCACGAAGATTGCTACTGAAGCAAAACTTTCAAGTGCAAAGGGTTAACTCGACATTGAAAAATGGACTCAAGCCATTCTCAAATTGAACGACTCATTCTTTACATTTACATAGTACAATATTAAAACCACGAAGATAGCTACTGAAGCAAACACTGCTCGTGGGTTCGAGACAGGATCGTCTCCAGCGAAATTACGCAACGAGATCTCCGCGTCTTATCTCGGATCGATCCTCGGCGTTTTCTCCGGGCCGCTTATCGCATCGTCGGCCCGTTATCGGATCGTGGATAACAATTCTGTTTGGCGATCGCGTAATCGGCGATGCGAGTTTTTGCGTTCTAATCGTCGCCAAGGATCCGCCGCCGCTTGGGAACGTAATTGATACCGCGGCGTTCGAGCGTGTCTCACGGTTCGCGGAATCTTTCCTCCCGCGTTATCGCCGCGTGAGATTTGCTCCGCGCGAAGCCGCACAGCGGGACGGAACGGCGATCAGAAATCTCTAACTTTGTTACCGCTTTACTTTCATGGAATTCCAAGCACTCGATCTTTGCCATAGGCTCTTTGTATCCTATTAATTTCAACGGAAACGCTTATCAGACACGTGAAACTCGCAATCACTGTGCCTTTCTTCAGCAACAACTCCACAGTATTTATTTTCCGTCAATAAATTGTATATGTTTCCTTACCAATCGCTCAAAACTTTTTTCCCTCACACCCTCAATTTTTCTATCGCCATCGTTCCTACGATACAACATACTTCGCACTCAATTGAAACCACATCTAGCGATGTTCCACAGATTAACCCTTTGCATTCGGAGCATTTAACATTGCATTCGAAATGTCCCTAAGAGGGGACTTCCGAGTGCAAGTTAAGCTCGCCGAGCATAAGTGCCATTGGTAGCGCGACGATCCGTTGATCTCAACCATCAACAGGAAAACAAAAGGGAACACCATGCATAGATCGTATCCACAATACAACGATCTCTCCACGAAATCATCTGAATTCCCATCGATCCCGCGACACCGCGGAAATCGGCTTTCCATCGGCACTTCTCAGCGCGCCGTGCGCCGCGCCGCGCCACGCCGCTCGCGTCAAGCGATGACTCACCGCTCGCAATACGTGCGTAACCGTTTGTTTAACCGAAGCCGCGCGTTTGCGTTTCGCAATCGCGCCGGCGACAAGGCCGCCGAATCGGGCGATCACGCCGAATCGGCGGAAAATTCGCGGCGAGAGCCGTGCCCCGGAGCGGATCGATCGGACCGGGAGGATCGATCGGACCGCCGCGGGACCGGAAGAACGTCCGGCCGCGTGCCCGGTGCACGCGCGGCCGCGTTCGTATTAACCGCCTCGCCAAATCGCGGATTAAAATAAAGATGCCGCGGCGCGGGCCAATAATAGAGACCGCGGGGTATCGCGTGCCAGGAAACCGTTGCGTTAACCCCTTAATGCACGGGTTTCTCGCGGCGCGCGATCACGTTAACGAGCTACGAATGCAACGTGCGCGCGCTCCGCGACCGCGTTTGTTGACTCGCGGACAAAAAAGAAGAGAAAAATTGCTAAAGCGGGATGACTGTGCAGGAACGGAGGATCCGGCGAGCGGATTCACGTGAAACGCGACAAATCACCGGGATCTCGAGCTCGATGAACGTAAATTACCGTGGCGCGTCGTGATTCAGCGTTATCTCGACGCCGATGATGCGCGAGCTTCCTTAAGGCGAACGATTACTCGCCAATTCGCGGGTAGATAACCGCCCACGAGAATTCTACGGATTATGCAATCCACGGCTAAATGTGGATACATAGTTGGAATTAATGCCGGGGATGCTAATCGCGGATAAACACCCGTCGGCGGGGGCAGGCGAGTGTTGCTCGTTCCTTCCTTTTCGATTTCACTCGCCGGTAACTTTTCACTTTCTTGCGTCACCCGTTGCAGTTTCCTTTTGTTTCTTTTTTTTCTGCGTGCTTTCAGGGGAGTCGCGTTAATTCGATTCGAGCCTTGGATTCTGTCGGATCCTCGGGAGTAATCGGATAATGAAATAATTGATAACGATTGGAAATTATTGAAAACAATTGGACGCGCTCCGGAATAATTGGAGTTAATCGGGATTAATTGAAGTAACCCTTGATTATGTGCGAATCCCGTTTGGAAGTGCGAGACCGACGAAAGGACCGGTCGAATGGGTTTGTCGGGAATTATGTAATTGGGATTATTCGAATGTACGCGCTATTTAAGTACGTTCCCGCCAAGTATCGTTGGACGAAGCGCGAATACAGTGTACGAGATATCCTATTTCTGCTAACGAATCTGAATTTAACCCTTTGAACTCTGTGGGCTACAATATTGCACCAGTTCTAATATCAAATATTTCAATGAATCAAAACTACCCTAAAATTATTAGTTTTTCCACACATCCAAATTCTGCGTTGAGAAGGAAAATAAAAGATCGAAGAAATGTTATATTTCTCATTTCCTCTAGGAATACTATAAAAATTAGTTACAGTTTCTGATAAATTATAAAACCTAAGGGTTAAAAGCATTGAATATTCGAAATGATGTTGAAAATAAATAGCTTCACTCGAATACTGCAACGAATGCCTGAAGAAACCGAACATAATCTATTGTTACAATTTTTATACGGATCACATATCAATCGTATTAAATCCTCGGTAGTTCTAGTGTCAAGTAAATTCCATTTGCTAGGATACCTCAGAATAATTACAAAACAACTTGCAGTGCTAAGGGTTAATTCATCCAACACTAGAAAATCTCGACTTCCTCAGATATCCAACAAATCTCATTACAATTAACATCTAAACGACTCAAAAACCGTCTTTATCAATATACACACTTTTACCAACAGAGAAAAAATACTCGGTTACCGACGGTCGATACTACCGACACCACTCGTTCATCGGTAGTCGTTAAAACGAATTCCACCTGGAATCGGCGTCGGTAACGAGCAGGTGCTCATAATCGATGCTCGATACATTTTTCCGCGACGCAGACGATCGAGCCACTTTCCCGGACGATCCGTCGCGTCGCGTTTCACGCGCGGCTGGCTCGGCGACGTTCCCAGCCGGCACGACCTCGATGCTCGTTCCATCTGGTCCCCGAGCGTCGCACGTCAACAGGAAACGTTTGAACCCGAAAACGCATTATTCACTTTGCAAAGTGGAAAATAACGTCCGTCCGTCCGTCCGTGGGCGAGGACTGACGCAGAGCCAGGCGTGCACGCGACCGGCCGCCGGAAACGCCTCAAACGCCGGAACTCGAAGTTTCGAGCGGCGCGACGCGACGCGAGGCGTCCCGCGACCGACATTGCTCGAACTTTCCTCTCGATCCGTGTCAAGGTGTACACGGTTTTCGAGATTCCGCGCGCGCGTCATCCGCGACATTTGTCACGCTGCTCGAAGGTATCCCGACGACGTTATTCGCCGCTCGTGTTTTCGAGACCATTCCGCTTGCGAGTACAGACGTACCTTGAGAGCTGTCCCCTTTCCCTCCGGCGGTTCTTGGTCGCCTAGCTTCCCGTCGTAATCTAATTCGTCCATCTTAATCTGTCTCGCGAGTCGACGATTCATCTCTATCAATTTCATTCGACTGTCTCGCACTATCGTGTCCACGATGGAGGCGTCACGTCGGTCATCGATCAACTAGCCGAAAATCTTCGGCGTCCGAAACGTCGCAGCGAACATAGATGGCTTCCGTACCGACCGATCGCGATTCGAACCCCCTAGCATTCTCCAGTGGCATTGCGTAACACTAGATTGCATACGAATAACACTATCATGAAAGTGCACAGGCGAAGGATAGTCCGTGTAAAGAAGGGTCTAAAATTACATCTGACAAGCGCCGCGAGAGTCTTGACCATTTTTCTGTAGGTATCCTCGTTAGGAAGAAGCAATAATTATTCACTACATCGCATTACTATTGACACTATAAGCTCAGTCACGTTATTAAACATTTTCATTAGTGTCCGTTATCTCGTGCGACGGTTCCAAGTAATTCAGAAGCGTCAGTGTCTGACATGGCACTTGACGTGTTAATGGCTATCCCCATGTGATCGAGCGGTGATAACGTGACGTCTGAAACGGAATCTATCGGGATCGAAAGTTCGTTGACGTCCCCGGGAGCCGCGATCGTCTCGAGCGTCACAGAACCAGCTGGAACGCTCCGGGGGACACTAGCAATCGCGATCGGAACTTTCTACTTTCGACGGGCTCCCCGACGTCACCGATCACGCGGCGGCCGTGCAGCGACACGCACGGATGGCGCAGCCGCTGTCTAACCGGCGACCCCGAAGCATCCCTCTCTCGGTGGCTAAACTCCGGCGTCGCGATTACGCCGCGGCCCATTGGAATTCTGCGGCGGATTGCGCGTCGCCTTGCCGATAAATTATTTCCGCCTGGTCGGTTGGTCGGTCGGTCGGCCGACTCTCTGCCTTCCCGTTCGTTATTAGCTGCGCACGTTTTATCCATTCGGCCCGAGCACGACGATTACCGACAACAACAGGCGAACGCGACTCGCGACATGCATTATTCACGAGACACCGTGCGCGGAATCGAGTCGGCTGGAATCCCGAGCTCTCGGCCCGAAAATTTCTATCGGTGTACCAGCCTCCTAATGTCCCATGCGCGCGTCGACCGTAGAACCGGAACAAGACACGGACGCTTCGCCTCGCGCAGGATAACGCGCATTATGTCGCCCCAGTTGAATCCGGCGCGTTGAATACGATTATAATACCGAATTATTAACGATATTATAAATTATTGAAATTAAATCTTCAATATTTAAAGATATAATAATTTTGTCATTAATAATGTATTGGAGAAAGAGAACAATTTTGCTCTAAAATATAATAATTGACAGCGGAAACAGGATGTTTCATTTGCGTTCACAAGACTTGAGTAATATTTATTTTTGCTAAATTCTATTTAAAATCTTCGTCACGTGTCTCACACGATGTAAGCCAAGGGGTGGTGGAAATGAATTTAGAAATTTTTCAATGTCTGAAAGACGTCATTGAGAATTTTGGGATAGAAGCGTCTCGACGTGCGTGGCACGTCTTTCCAACGCAAGTGGTTAAATTGGACGCGACTTGAAGCGGCGCTACGTAAACTCCTCATTAACAGAATGTGGAGATCTAGTGTTCCAGGAACGTGTCACGTTTCCACTTCTCTGATCCTTTATACTCGAGCTATGAAAACTGAGGATCGTTGCATCTGCGCAACAGTCGACATTAGAACTACCGATTGAAACTTCCGGAAATTTCTCTATAGAAGCTCCCAGAGTGCAAAGGGTTAATAATCGCGGGAAGAGAGAAATCAGGAAATCTAACCTGTTCGGTGGTTCTAATTAACCAGTCAACTGTGTTTGACGAGTATACACGTCATCGTAAAGCTTGACACAATACTAATTCTTTCAGCGACGAATTCTTCATTTTTTCACATAAACATGTAATTCTTTGTTTCGCTTCGACCTTTCATTAAAATATACTCTACGTGTCGTCCTGCGTTCGACGAGTACACGCTCCATTGTTTTATTTTATTGCGCGCAGAACGAGAGGTTTTTCCAACTAAATTTCACAGTTAACTGGTTAAAACGTTAAAATGTTCTTACGCGGAAAATGCGAATGCGTTTGACTAACCTCTCACGGCCTCCAGTCTAACCCTCAGCGCTCGAAGTAGCGAGCATAAACACTCGACACGGCCGCCGAGTCGTCCTAGATGTGTTATCCGAAAGTCTCGATCAAGACATCTGTTCACTTCCGCGTCGCCGTAGCCTTCGTTGATAATACATGGTTTCCGTCCGCGAATAAACAAACGTAATCGCGAACAGTGGCCACCGATAGAGATGGTTATCAGGATTAGAGGTTAGAAACGCGGGAGACGTCCGACGGGAGAAAAAGAATCGAAGAATCTTGTCACGGAATGGCTATCGGCTTCCGATCGAATCGAATCGAATCGAATCGAGTGGAATCGAAACGGATCACGAAAGAGCAGTCGACGACTACATAGATCCGTTGCATATTTATGGGGCACCTACGCCCGCTCTTTTTTGCGGCGCGCGATCGAACGAGTTCCCGCGTCGCATCACCGATCGGTCCGGTTTCCCCTTATCGCGTCGTAGACGGCTGGCTGCCACGCGAACCCGGTGATTCTGTTCAACGTAATCTTCGTAAATCATGGCTCTTGAACGGCGACAGGTTAGCAGTGATTATTTGGAAAATAGCAATCGAAGTTCAAGTGCGATTCGAGGATCCAGAAGGATCTTTAACCCTTTGCACTCGAGAGGCGTCTTTCAGTCGCCGTTTGATTTGACACAAGAAAATTATGAAATCTCAAATTCGATATTAAACTGTCTGTAATGCATCAATACATGGAACATCGAAATCAACTAGCTCTGTCACTTAGTTCATGCAAGGTATTTCTTTAGAATTTATTATATAATATTCTCGAGTGCAAAGGGTTAACACGTCAAGGGCCACGAAAATCTTCTCCATTTTATTATAGAGTTATTCCGTGGTAGCAAGGAAACGCAGTTAGAATGATTAATTATTTGTCGTTATTCTCACATTACTGTTATCAGCTTAGTCACCTTGTTAAACATTTTCAGTCGGCATTATCTTGCATGTTACGATTGTTTTCAAATAATTCAGAAGCGTTAGTCATCAATGACTAATATGGCGTTTCACGTGTTAAACCGAATTCGAGAAATCTGTTATTTATTTTCTTGAAATATAAATTAAGCATTGCTTTTCTATTATCAATAGAAATTCTCACGTAGAACAAGCACGCAAATTCTTACTTTCCCTAGTCAATTATTAATGACTAGTTATATCGACCATAATAAAGAAATATTTTTTGACATATTATTATTAATATTATTTGATATAATAGTGATTTCAACGTTGGGAAAATTGCTCCTTGATGAACCTAGTGTATTATGAAACGATGTGAAACCTGCCTGACCAATTTTAGTAGTTCGTTGGTTAAGCTGTCAACTTTCTTATCAACGTCACCTTGTTTTTTGCATTTCAACATGCCATGACCGGCACAATGAATTTGTAGTAGCTGCCGAATTGCGAAAACCGAAGATACAATGGTCGATTTGTAATTCCAATGAAAATCATAATGTTCTTTTTCATTTGTTATTGTAAAAATAGGGCAAACCCGTGGATATAATATTACTGTTATAATGGACCAATTGGAACGAGGTGTTCGACCAAGTCTCCTTGAACTCTTCTGTCGGAGAAAATTATCCTGTTAAGCGTATCATAATTAAATTTGCATTCTGATCCCAACTCATCAATGGGACCTGATCGCATGATTCAAGACGCAGGTAGACGAATCGTTCGCTTGACAAGCTTCTCATCGACTGTCCTGGTTAAAAGGAATCTTTTCTGTCCGCTGTTTTTTTACCCTAATCGGACCGCGATGTGACTTTGAGTTATATTTGAACTTTTTATTGAATTTTTTTCATTATTTCATGTTGCATTTCCCGAAGTTTTTTAGGCTCTTAAAATTTGGGCCCTATAAGCAAAAAAAAATAACATTTTAATCGTTCCTCTGATTCTCATAAGTGATTAGGGTTGTTAGAGATTGAATTCCGATTTTAAAATTCATCAGCAGACACACCTGCGTGATCCAGAATACACAGGAATTGAATTGTTAATCCGGTTAGCAGCATGATGCAACATTAGCTGTATATTAACTATGAAATATCAAAGTCCTCTCGATTCTGTCGATGAAACAGAATGTCCTTTTCTTAGACGTGCTTTAACCCTAATCGTACCACGATGTGACTCTCAGTCATTTATGAGAACAAAAGGAATGATTAAAATGTTAGTGTTTTTGCTTATAGGGCCCAAATTTTGGGAATGTAATATGAAATAATGAAAAAATTTCAGTAACAAGTTCAAATGTGACTGAAAGTCACTCTCAGTCACTTATGAGAATAAAAGGGACGATTAAAATGTTATTGCTGTTGTTTATAGGGCCCAAATTTTAAAAGCCCAAATAAATTTCTGGAAATGCCATATGAAATAATGAAAAAATTTCAGTAACAAGTTCAAATGTGACTCAAAGTCACATCGCGGTTCAATTAGGGTTAATCAACCCAGAATTCCGATCTGAATTTGTCAACAGATCTCTTGCGATTCGAAGTGCAAGATGAACCGATGGGTTCGGATTGCTGGCACCTCTAAAGCTAGATTGTTTAACCCTTTGCACTCGAGAGGTGACTCTCAGTCACCATTTGATCTGATATAATAAAATTACAAAGTGTTGTATATAATATTAAGTTTCGTATGGTGCATCGATATGTGAAATATTCATATAAAATAGCTTTGTTTCTTAATTTACGTATTTTTCATAACTTCGTTTCAAATAATATCGTCTATGTCTCATCAGAAAGTGTCGAATATTTCTAATGAAAAGCTTTCGAGGTCAAAGGGTTAATTCTGCATCACTCCCATGTCTTTCCCAGTCACTGAAAACACACAGGTATTTCCTCATTTCCATTCCCCGATTACTCAGTGTCCCAATTCTTGGCTTTCCCTTTGCCTCTGTTCTCGCTGCAAAACATTTCTCATCTAACTTGTTTATCCGTATTCCACGGGCATTCGTTAATTGACCGATTGCGGCGGGAAAAGTGGCTGGTGTTAAACTGGCGTTTACGAAAAGTAAGATCGCATCGAGTGTCCACCGGCGTTTCGGCTTATGTAAGTGGAACAAGAAAGAGAAATCTTGGATAAGATAACGATTTTAATAAGGCCCGCCGGGCAACGTCGAGTGGCTCCTCCAGCGTCGCCGTTTTTCTCGGCAGATGAACAGCCGATAGCCCGGACGGAAATTGAATAAAAGTCACGCGCGTCCCCGATGACAATGGGAAGCGACCAGAGGAACTCGAGACACATCGTTCCGCGTTATCGTCGTTCTATCGTTTCTCTGGAAATTGAACGGCTCGTTTCCGATCTCGCCGCGATACTTCCGCCGGTCACGCTTCCGCGACTCGGATTGAACCCTTCGCGCTCGAGAGGCGACAGCCAGTCGGCGTTCCATTGAACACGGTAAAATTGTAGAGTTTCGAATTGAATGTTAACCCTTTGAACTCTGTAGGCTCCAATATTGCACCAGTTATAGTATCAAATATTTTAATGAATCAAAGAAATTACCCTACAATTATTAGATTTTCCACAGATCCAAATTTTGCACTGAGGAAAATAAAAGATCTAAGAAATGTTGCAGCATTTATAATTTCCGCTAGGGATACTATAAAAATTATTTGCAGTTGCTGATAGATTACAAAACAACGTGGAGTGCTAAGGGTTAACCCTTTGCGGACGAAGATTCTTCGAAACATACGAAATCTAAATTATATATCAATTGCTTAATTAATAGAACAAAAGATAACTACGTGTAGATCTCTCGTTGTTCGACTAATTAGATCATTTTCCCGCGACTTAGTCTTCCAAATATGAACATTTCATCTCTATATATCTCGTCAATGCGTGAAATATTGAAAGAAATAGCTTTGTTCCCCAAAGTATTCGAGTATTCAAGTGTTCGAATTACTGTAATTCACTCAATTAACACTAGAACCACCGAGCATTTAATACGATTAACATGCAATTCCCATAAAAATTGTAACAATAGATTATTCTCAGTTTCTTCAGACACTCATTATAGTACTCTAGTGAAGCTATTTTTAAAATCATTTCGAATGCTCAATGCTTCGAAGATATCAATAATTGCTAAAGCATCGAAAGCAGTCATTTTGGTACGGTAGTTCTAGTGTTAAAGTACCATTGAAACAACAATTACTCGGTTTACCCGGGAATACCCGAAACAGATAACGTGTATTCGAGAAACCTGTAGAATTTTGATCGTCCGATTCAGTTGGGGGACTAACAGTCCAGATAAACGGAGGCTCGAAAAGAAATCCTTTAATCCCCGGGTTATAATCTGTGAATCGAAATCGTAGAATATGTGAAGAATGATTTATCGAAAGAGATGATTGTACAAGAAGATGGGGGAAACGATTCGACACCGTCACGTGCAACAGCGGAGTTATCGGACCTCTCACAAGCACCATTGCTATCCCAGATAACAGATTAGACAAAATTACCCAATTTAGCTGCGTGGCCGCGAGATATTCTAAATATACACTCGCAGGCGAGATTAAAAGATCAGAAAATGTTCATTGGACAATTGCTCGAGTTCAACGCGGTACGATTGTATGAAACGAAAACGCACAGTCATTCTTTCTTCGAAAATCTCACGAGTTCCTGCGACTTTTCAACGGGAACATTCTGATTTTTTAATTGTACCTGTTAAGAGATAATAATTTAGTTTCAAAAAGTTTCAGTAAATCGACGAGAATCAATTAAGAATTAAGCACCGCTTCGCGCTGCAAGTTCATTGGTCAATATTTCACAACTAATGCGCATTTATTATTATGTTGAATACACCTGACCCTCGATTTACGTAAATTGGAACACTGAATTTAGCAACAGCGAATAAAATAAACTATTGTTTCCTAAGATGTCATTATTCTTCCTTTCGTTAAGCTGAAATAAATATATCTCAAACTTCCACCAGCTCTCTTCAATATTTCGTTCTCTCTCGTACCAGGCTCTGTTTACGCGATTCTCTGCGTAAATCGAGGGTCAGGTGTATTTATAATCTAGCATCAATCGATAAGTATTCAATGCATATATAATATACACATATATTATCATATTAACCCTTGCGATCGGTGTCAACATGGCGGCGTCTTGCTCTGTATTTTACGATCGGCAGCTGCCGCAGGTACTCGTTACTCTCCGCGGTAAATATATATATTCAAGAAAATACGTTAGCCTGAAAAAATAACGCAAAGCGTCGGATCTATAACTCGCGCGATCCTTGAATCGCTCGTAAATCGAGCGCGTCAACCGACTCGGCCGATTGCTCGTTAAAGCGGCTGCTCTCCTTTGCGCGCCGCCGTTTTCCCTTGGATTTTTCACCGCGTACCCTTGGGAACCGAAAAGCCGATAAAACCATCGGCGCGTCGGACGCGGAGGGTAATTTTTCCACGGCCATTATCGCCGGGCAACCGGTAATAAACGGTTCCCCTTGGAAATCGCGGGAAAGAGGAGCCGCCGCCGCCGCCGCCGCCGCCTGAGCCTCGAAGATAAAACCGCACACGCGGGGATTTGCTCGA